CCGGCGGGGCCCTGGCCGCCGCAGACCCGACAATGACGCGGGGCCGGAGGGCTCCTACCACAACCCGGGGCCGTGGAGACCCGACGACCACCCGGGGTGGAGGCGACCCTACCATAGCCCGGGGGTCGCGGGGCTCGGGGTGGCCCTGCCACACGGGGTCAGTGTCAGGCAGGGGGCGTGCAGCCGCGGGCTGCTAGACGCGGGGCCAGGGGTCCCGGCCGCAGCACAGCTCCACGTCCCCCACCTCGAGCCCTCGGCGGGTGCTGTAACTTGATCCCCGGAAATTCCTGGAGAGGGACTGCCCCCCCCCCCCTCTCCCGGCAGCCCCGGGCTGCGCTTCACTGCCCGCCTCGGCCTCCCGCCTCCTGTCCTCTCGGTCCCTGACGCCCCACTGGATACCCAGACCCGCCCCCACCTAGGTCCGAGCTCGTCCGGGTCGATTGGGGGATCCCTGGCCTGTCTCCCTGGTACCCCGGTGCTGGGTCATGCCTCCAGCGAGACCCTTACCCAGGCGAATTGGTGATGGGGAGCTGATTGCTGCTGCGCAGCATCCGAGCAGGCCTGGAGCCGGCTGGGAGGGGCAAGGGGAGTGAAGGGGGCCCAAGGAGGGGCGGCGCCTGCCTCCTCGACTCCAGCCCCAGAAGGTGACTCATGGAGTCTGCCCCCACTCGCCCTTCTGCCTGGGTTGAGGGGTGCAGAGAGAGAGAGAGAGCCAGGGCAGCGCAGAGAAGGGGTGTCTGGATCGATCAGGGCACCCACGGGGGAGAGAAGCACCTGAAGTTTGGGGTCTTCTCCAAAGGCTGCTGTGTAGGATAAGGGGTGCTCAAAACCGAGCTACGCCCCTCGAGATGGGGGGCGGGGAATAGAGGACCAAATGGACCAAGAACGCCGCCGCCCTTTGCGGAAGTCACAACTCAGTTCTCTTCTAGTATAGACGACGTCCATCACGTTGACCCCTTCGACCTTCCCCTACAAGGACTTTTCCTTTTTTGCAGAATATTTTTTGGACTCAAAGTAGAAATCTGGGCAGGGACCAAAAAAAGGGGAGTGGGTGGGAGGGGAGGCACAGGTCTTTGTAGAAGGCTAACCTAAATGACACTCTGAGGATGCACTGGTGACTGGGGCAGGAGATGACTGAATGAAATTATTCACAAATCCTGGGGAAAACTGAGTGACATATTGGCAGAAAGTCATCAAGAGTATTACAGGAAAACATGATGTCTGACGCTGGCACAGGTAAAACTGGGGGTTAATATGCCACCCCACCCCGTGGACCTCTTTCCTCCTTCCCTCTGCCTGCCTGGACTTTTACAGCCACCAAATCGCGACGTTATAGCGAAACCACATCTCTCAGCACCTCAGTTCCCACCGGGCAAATGCTGTTCTAATGTTCTAGAACTTTGCTCCACTCTCCCAGAGTCATCCTAACTTAATCTTTCCAGTGGCAGTGCTACTGTCTGCTGGCAATGCTGGCCATCTTCATCGGGACTGGAAGTTGCTCAAAATGGGAAGCGCCAGGGACCGCCTCCAAACAGCAGCCTGCTACATCACCCAGAGGCCAGAGCAAGTAAACACGCGTCTCTTTAAAACTACAACTCCCAATAAGCATTAGAGCCTGACGGGAGGCGGGGTGGCGCATGCCCAGTTCCTCTTGAGGAGCTACGAAACCTGAACTACCACTACCGGCGGACGCCGTGCTACAAATTACCCAATCCGCTTTAAGGAAGAAGCCTCGCGAGATTTCCGTGAGACTTGGCTCTATAAGCCCGTAAGAACGGACTCAGGAGACCCTTTTCACGAAGATGGCGCCGAAGGCGAAGAAGGAAGGTCTGTTCTGGGCTTCGGAGCCACCTTTGGCGTGTTTAAGCTGCCCGCAGAGTGGAGGGACTGGGAGGGCAGCTTCTGGGCTAGTCCCTGGGGTTAGGTCCGTAGCTGCTGACAGCATTTGGGCCGTGCTGCGGCGTGTGGGCCCGGCCGCGTGGTCGGCGGCGGAGTAGGCAATGCGGGCGGCACCGTGCGCTGGGGAGAGGCAGTCGGCTCCCTGCTTGGGGAAGCTCTGCCGCAGCGCCTTACCTCCAGAGCTGAAAAGAATCAGGCCTCAACCGTAACCATCTTTTCTTTGATTGGGCAGGGCTACTTAGCGCCCCCACCGCCGTAGTAAGTGCAACTCAGGAAATGGCAAGTAGTTGGATCAATGCTGGTTCCGTTTTTCCACCTTTTTATCCCTGGATCACCCCAGGGGGATCTCCACCGCCCTCCGGGTCGTGCGTATGATGGAAAAAAAACATAGTCTGAGATGCGTGATGTCTTCAAAGGAACCACTGACGCACGTGTGGTCGGCGGGTGTCCACCCACAGCCGTTCCGACACGGACAAGGGATTTCTGAGCCCCCGTTTCTCTGTTTCTTTCATTCTCTCCCAGCTCCTGCCCCTCCCAAAACGGAAGCCAAAGCAAAGGCTTTAAAAGCCAAGAAGGCCGTGCTGAAAGGCGTCCACAGCCACAAAAAAAAGAAGATCCGCACGTCACCCACCTTCCGGCGGCCTAAGACCCTGAGACTGAGAAGGCAGCCCAAATACCCCCGGAAGAGCGCCCCCAGGAGAAACAAGTCAGTATTGCCCTGTGTCTGTGAGGTTGGTCCTCTATTGGTTGGTTTAGAAATCTGTTTGCCCTGCATAATAAGGTTGGTGGTAAATATGCTTCAGCCTTCTGTCCGGTTGAGTTAATTGTTGCTTAACACCTGGTCAGGACTTGGGCTTTCCTTCTCTCAGAGGCCCAGAATTGCATGGAGAACAAGGATGTGGGTTGATTCTAGATTGACAAATGGGGACAGTGATGGCTTCAGCAACGTATTGAAGGTTCTGTTACTTCCTTTCAAAAGTCAACGTCACTCTTTTCAAGGACTTGTGGGGTGGGGTGAGACTCCGGACAAAAGTCTCATGTATCTTAGTGTCAGGATAATAAAATCTGGTCTGGAGGTTCACCATAAATTAGGAGAGACATGGTCAATAATGGACACCAATGGTATTCTCTTCCCACTCTGCTAAAAGGACAGTGGGCTGTGCCGGGAATACAGCAGACTCGGGTGTGTACCTGTGTGACCCTAGGGTGGTAAGAATTTGAGACCAGAAGACAGGAAGTTGTGTTTGAGTAGAACCTAGCTTGTCTGAATTGGTGGAGGAAAGGGCTCAGGGCTACTTTAAATTAAATCTAAGCAGTAAATAGTGGCCTGTGAGCATAGACAGTTTTACATCACCAGAGAGGGCAGAGATTGTGGCGCACTTCTGCCTGCCTTTCCTCCCTCCTGCCTTGTGCTGCACACGTGAGGCTAGTGTGATACTTGGGAGCATTAAATGAGATTTTGGAGTTTTCCCCCTCCAGCTCCATGGTGCAAATGATGACATCTATTCAGCGACCAAAGTCTGATCAAAATGATTGCTATTTAGTCTGATGCACTGGACTCTGTCAGCTTCCGGCACCCAAAGAGGGCACATAGCTTATTCTGGGCCCAGGCCAGTTTGACCCCCTTTTACCTCTGCCCCAGGCTGGACCATTATGCCATCATCAAGTTCCCCTTGACCACAGAGTCTGCCATGAAGAAGATCGAAGATAACAACACACTTGTGTTCATTGTGGATG